ATATGTGTTGGATTCCAAAATGTCCCTAAGTAAAGGGTGGATTTTTCTTAGTTTTTCTTCTTCTTAAGAGATGGGGTTTCGCTCTGTCATCCAGGCTGGAGTGCAGTGGTGTGATCATAGCTTCCTGTAGCCTCAAACTCCTGGGCTCAAACAGTCTTCCTGCCTCAGCCACCCCAGTAACTGGGATTACAGGTGCCCACCAGTGGTGCTGCACTACAAGGGTGAATTTTCTTATGCATATATTTGCAGAAGAGCAGTATGAATCATATGCTGGTCTTCAGTATATGAAGTTGATGACATTTTTTACCATCAGTGGGGCAAGCTTCTTGTATTGTCTTTTTAGTTGTGGTGACATAACCTTATGGTTTATTTTCTGGTTATCTTCTATCACATCTTTGAAATGAATAAAAGCTAAGTGAGTATTATCTTGGGTGGGATAGGAAGAAAAACTAAAATCTAAAATTTTTGAGCATCTTGTTATTGCTGAGTTCTGAACCAGGGTCATTATAAATACTATATTATTTAGTACTTGTGAAGGCTCTGTGAGATATTAATATTCCCATTTTACAGATGAGGAAACTAAGTCTCAAAGATGTTCCAAATGTGTGTTATCACAGTGTGTTATTTGAATCAGTGAGTGCCTGATTCCAGAGTCTATACTTATTCTTCTATGTATCTCTGCCTATTGGGTTGTGGGCAGTTAATCTAGGACTTTGGGTTTATGGGCACTGAACTGGCAGAGAACACATGGAACATGTAGATTTGGGCAGTAAAAAAGAAATGCTATATTTCTGGTACTAGCTGCAGGTACATTTCCCATTTTTCCAATGACATGTAGTGAATCAATCAGCAATTATATTGAATATTCTGTGTATAACACTATAAGCATGTAATCCTCCCACAAAATGTAACCCTTATGAAAAATACATATGGTAAGGGAGAAACGTGCTAGATGGAAGGAAAACGTGTTTAAATCTTCAGCATAATATTTAATGGCAGTGTCATCGATGTGGTTATAGTTTGGGTAGTTTAAACTTTATTTCTCAAACTAAAAACCTTTAAAGGTGGTTTGAAGAAATATGAACAGATTTCTTACTCTAGTTTTATATCACATGAAACTAACTTGTCAGATGCAATTCTTCTGTAAATATTCAGGTCACAGAGCAAGAGGTAACTGACTCCTATATGCCTAAATCTGCAGCTGGAAATTATACTTTGGCAAGAACATGAGTAATTTATATCTTGTAGAAAGAGAAAAATATTGTCTTATTCCAACCAGATAGTTTGTTAGCATAACTGTTTGTATGCATTTTAGTATTCAAATACAGATGTTCCAGAATATTTCCACTGTGGGAAGCAGCTGCTGCTATTCTAGCACAGAAATCTCAAAGAGATTAATATACAAAGGCAGCATGAACCTTGGTGGCAAATGCAGCATCTGCTTGAGGTGGGGCCTATGATTCCCCATAGATAGTGGGTCTTCAGATTCTCATTAACAGCCTGAAACCATGTTTCAGATCTAAGCTTATTCTACAGGAACAGGAACAAAGACAAGTGATTAATTTGTAATTCACTTAGCTGATAAATATCATCACATGTTATTTGCCCAGGGGCTGTAAAACACTGGACTTTATTTCCTGTAGCAACTGATAGGAATATAGATGTTTGGTCATAATGATTGATGTTTTCAGTTGCCATTACTAGCTTCTGCTTGCTAACAGAACTCAGCCCAGTCATCTTGCAGTCATAAAACATCCATCTACACCTTAGTGATGCATTCACAGAGCACTTTATAGTTTACTAAAGGCACTCACATGCACTGCTTCATCTGATGCCATCTCAGCCCTGTGAAGTATGTACAGTATTGTCATTAGCAACATTTTACAAATAAAGAAAACAGGAGTGAAGAAGTAAAAGACTTATTAGTGTTACATAGCCAGGGCCTCTGATGCTAAATCCTGTTCCATTCTTATACTGTACCAAGCTGCCTCTCTAGTTTCAGAGGCAGTGATGTGTGCTTCATAAATTACATCCTTTCTAGAGATACTGACTTCCAGGACACCCGTCATGAAGAGTCCCAGCCTGGCAGCACTGCCTGATAACTGGAGGATGCCAGGAAAGAGCCAGTGTAATAATCTTTCCCTTTTTCCCCCACACCCCAGAGGAGAAATGCCTAAATATTCCCTTCCTTATGTTCAGAGAGCTTTAGCAAGCAGCTTCTATGTCTCCCTGGCATTTAGAGAAATGAAGAACCAGAAGCAGAAGATCCCAGGGCTATCATTTGGAGTTGCCATAAACCAGAAGTTCCTGAGAACAGCGACGCCTGGGGTGTTGTGCCTGCCCTGAGACCTATAAATCTATCCCATGCAGTGTTCAAAGGCTCATGGCCTCCAACCAGATCTACTATTTGGAATTATCTAGTGAATTATTTATGGTTTACATATTTGACAGGGGCTTATGGCTGGGTTTGAAAATACTCTGTTCCTGGCTTGCTGCTTGGGCCTAAAAATGTCTGGAAAACCAAGGCTCAGAGAAGTTAAGTTGCTAAAGCTCTCAGAGCTAGTAAAGGGCAGTGCAGTTCTGAACAAGGTGTATGTGATTCTAAGCTACAATAATTCCATAGTCAAAGAGCCTGCATGTTTTGCTTTGAGGGTAACAAAGATTTCTGGGTAGGAGTGGGTTGTGTCCTCCGTAGTCAGGTGGTGGAGAACCCACAAAGAATAAGGGAGGGCCAACTACTGAAGCAGAGGAAGGAGGCTGAGTCTCTAGGCCTGCAGCAAAGGAGGAAAAAAAGATTTGGGGGATAGAGTAGGGGTGGAGGTAGAAGCAGTAGAAAGTCCCTTATACAATGTGTTGACATGAAGTCCTAACCTCAGCCCCAAAGAGGCTCACAAAGTAGAAGCTTGAGGCCAGTACACATACAAGTGACATGCTCTTTGTTGACTTCATTGCTGCTTCTGCCAGAAGCACACTGCTGCAGCATTGTGACTTGCATGGAATTGTTTCTGCTCTCCACCACTCAGAAAAAAAGAAACAGAAAAGTAAATTTCTAAGTATTTATTTCCTCTCTATTTTCTAAGTCTTTTTGTTAGAACATCTGTGAAATGATAAAAGCAACTTAAAACAATATGGGGCTTTTTTTTTGCAAATATGCTATTTGCAAGCACCACTGCACGTTGTGCACATGTACCCTAGAACTTAAAGTATAATGATAACAATAAAAAATTATAAGAAGGGCAAAAAAAAAGTGTCCCCAGTCATTTTGATCAAGAACTGCTATTTCACAGGCAAAGAAAATAGGGTAGAAAATCACTTATATCTATAAAATATTAATAAAAGTGTTCTGAAGTGCACAGACATAGAACACATTTCGTAAAGAAATGCCCTTACTCCAGGAGGGACAGCATCCCCTCCTTGTTATTCCCTAGCCAGGAGGCCCTTAGGAAAATTACTTGCCTATATGTAACAGAGTACACCCTTTGTTCTGGCAGGATCACATACTCACTTACTAAGAGAGAGCATCATGAAGAAAGGCAGCCACATGGCTCTAGCCGTAGGCAGGTAATGAAGGAAAGAAAGGGTAGGCAAGCTTCCAAGTTTTAGGATAAAAAGAAGGGCAGAAAAATCCCAGCATAACGTCCCTTTTATATCTGCAAAGAAATTAGAAACCAAGGACTAGAATATAAGACTGCAAGTATTTAAGATTCTAGAAACCATGTAACATCTCCTGTATTTTCGTTGTCCCTTTGTGGTTCACTACACCAGCATAGAGTCAGTTTCATTAAAACCTTTAAGATAAAAAGGGTTTGCATACTTTTCCTTGGCCAAAATAAGAAGAAAAAAAAAAGAATGAGTGGCAAGCAATGTGAGAGGACTAGGAAGATGGCATCTCTCTGCACAGAGAGGCTGGGATTAGAAGCGCTTCTAGGGAGGAAAAGAAATGCTTGAAGAGCCAGCGTGAGCCTGAAAAGGGGTGGTGAGGCTTAATGGAGACCACCCCACTCAGAGTGCAGTGCAGGTTGTAACCCACCCATTATTTTCCTCTGAGACTCATCCAAATCTAAGCCCTCCACAGTAACCAACACTGATGAATTTACATTGAAGGAACAAAGATAAGAGAGCAGGACCATCTCCAGTAAGCCCTGGGTCACAAAATCATCAGCATCATGGTAAACATCTCTCTTACCATTAAGGATATCCATTTACTGTGGAAGAAGACAAGAATAGAGAAATACCCAGGAGTGCAAAAAGCCAAGCATGGATTTCTCTTATGAATTTCCTGTGGTCTGTTATATGTAGTAATTAATTTTGATTTTCTTTTTCTTTTTCTTTTTTTTTTTTTTTTTTTGAGATGGAGTCTCACTCTGTCACCACACAGGCTGGAGTGCAGTGGCGTGATCTTGGCTCACTGCAAGCTCTGCCTCCCAGGTTCATGCCATTCTCCTGTCTCAGCCTCCCGAGTAGCTGGAACTACAGGTGCTCGCCACCATGCCCGGCTAATTTTTTTTGTATTTTTAATAGAGACGGGGTTTCACCGTGTTAGCCAGGATGGTTGCAATCTCCTGACCTCGTGATCCACCCACCTCGGCCTCCCAAAGTGCTGGGATTACAGGCGTGAGCCACCACACCCGGCCTAATTTTGATTTTTTTATACATTTTCTTATACCACAGAGGTCAATAGGTATTAACAGAGATGTAATATCGTAATTAATATTAGAAATGTCAATAAGTCTTTAAAATGAAGGCTATATGTAATACAACTTGTTTCTAGGAAGATTAGGTATAGAAAGTTACTGATTAAAGTATCATTGTTTTTTATTAGGAACTTGCTGTTTGGATGTGTTCTTTATCAATTCTGCGTAGGTCTGTGGAAAACTGATAGAAGTACCATTAGCAATTGGATTGGATAATTACAAGCAACCTGTAAAATTTTATCTGCCAAAACATACAAAACCATTCTGATGTGTTTTCATTTCTCCACTTTATGCTTTTCTCTTCAGGCTGCTTCATCAGCTTTGAGCAGTCTGGGCCACGTGTACACAGCCATTGGAGACTACCCCAATGCACTGGCCAGTCACAAACAGTGTGTTCTTCTTGCCAAGCAATCCAAAGATGAACTTTCTGAAGCCCGAGAACTTGGCAACATGGGAGCTGTGTATATTGCCATGGGTGACTTTGAGAATGCTGTGCAGTGCCATGAGCAGCATCTGAAGATAGCCAAGGACCTGGGGAACAAGCGAGAAGAGGCCCGGGCCTACAGCAACCTGGGCAGTGCCTATCACTACCGAAGGAACTTTGACAAGGCCATGTCTTACCACAACTATGTCCTGGAGCTGGCCCAGGAGTTGATGGAGAAGGCTATTGAGATGCGGGCCTATGCTGGACTAGGCCATGCTGCCAGGTGCATGCAGGATTTGGAGAGAGCTAAACAGTACCATGAGCAGCAGCTGGGCATTGCTGAGGATCTCAAGGACCGGGCTGCAGAGGGGCGAGCATCCTCCAATCTGGGTAAGAACAGGGTTGCCTGCAAGAGCCGAGGTCAAAGTCATGAGCTGGAAATAGCTGGAGTAGATCACTATCTTTTAGAGGAATCTGTGTGTTTATATTTAAAAGAATATCCTTATTGTGTGTGCTCTTTTCCTTTTCTTTTTGAGACAGGGTCTTCGTCTGTCACTGAGGATGGAGTACACATGCCAAGGATGGTGTGGCACAACCACACCTCACTGCAGTGATCTTCCCACCTCAGCCTCCCGAGTAGCTGGGACGACAGGCACACACACCACACCTGGCTATTTTTTTATTTTTTGTAGAGACAGGGATCTTCTTCTGTTGCCCAGGCTGATCTTGAACTCCTGGGCTCAAGCGATCCCCCCACCTCGGCCTTCCAAAGTGCTACAATTAAAGGCATGAGCCACCATGCCTGACCTCTTTCTTTAGATACATTTCCTTGGAGCCTGCCTTCTCTAAATCACACAGTTCTTCCTGTCATCATAGTGCTGTAAGGATTAGAATTCTGAAATACTGGAAAAACAAAACATCCCAACCTTTTAATCTGTAGAGAGAGAAGAGCAACCAGATTTATCTAATTAGAGAGAAGAGACATGAAATGATGATATAGGCTATGTTTGGTTTAAATGAAAGAGAAGCTGCTAAGCAGTCATCAATAGATGAGAACGTTTCTGAAAGGATTTTTCCTTACAGGAATTTCTTTACTTGGTGTATTAACCGCACAGGAAATGCATTTTTTCCTCAAAATTATGTGATTCAAAAAATAATATTGATAGTTTTAATATAAATGCAAAATTATTTTCATGAAAGATCTATTTAAAGATGATAGATTTACAATTGCTGTTTTGATAGTACTTGGTTACAATTAAAACATTTATAATTTGGGGGAATTTACATGTAGTGGTAAGAGACAACAAGTAATTGGTAACTGGCAATTTTTTAGAAGATAATTTTTTATCCCTGTCTTCAAATAGATGTGGGTACATAATGAATGGAAGATGTGTTTGGAAGTATGAGCTAAACTTATCCCTGTGCCTGGAGCCACATGGTTTGTTCTTTGCCTATAGGGATTCAGGATGGGGAGAGGACAAAGAGAGGGTGACCTTATTGCTATGCTTATCAGATATGAGTAGCAGCAAAATGTAAAACTTAGCCACGTTCCCTCCCTCCCTCCCTCCCTTCCTTCGTTCCTTCCTTCCTTCGTTCGTTCCTTCCTTCCTCTTTCTTCCTTCCTTCTTTCCTTTCTTTCTTCCCTTCCCTCCCTCCCTCTCTCCCTTCCTGCCTTCCTCCATTCCTGCCTTCCTTTTCCCTTCCCTCCCTTCCCCTCCTCTCTCCTTTCCTTCCCTCTCCTCCCCTTCCCTTTCCAAGATAGGTTCTCCATCTGTTACCTTGGCCTGAGTACAGTGGCACAATCATGGCTCACTGCAGCCTCAAACTCCTGGGCAAAAGTGATCCTCCCACCTCAGCCTCCCAAGTAGCTAGAACCATAGGCGCAGCGCATGCCACTTCAACCAGCTAATTTCTTTCTTTCTTTGTAGAGTCATGGTCTCACTATGTTGCCCAAGCTGGTCTGAAACTCTTGGGCTCAAGCAACCTGCCCATGGTGGGCATCAGCCACCATGCCCAGCTAATTTTCATTTGTTGTTTTGTTGTTGTAATGAGGCCTTGTTATGTTCCTCAGGCTAGTCTCAAGCTCCTGGCCTCAAACGATCATCCCATCTTGGCATCCAAAGTGTTGGGATGACAGGCATAAGCCACTGCACTTGGTGATTCTTTTTTTTTTCTATAATACAAGCATTTACAGATACAAAATTTTCTCTAAACACTACTTGACCTGCATCCCATAATTTTTTATGTATTACGTTCACGTTTATTGAGTTTTTAACATCTTCTGAGTTGGTTTGTGACTTCTCTTTGACTCATGAAGTGTTTAATGTAAAAATATTTGGGGTTTTTCTCTGACAGAAAATCAGCAGTGATCTCTTCATGGCTGAGTTGAAAGATCTTTTGACATTTCTAAATTTCCCTAATCAGTATCAGTAGTTGACATGCTCTGCTAATTTTTCTGTGAAATTCTCTTCTCTTTAGGTTTCTGTGAAACACCACTGTTCTGATTTTCTTCCTGGCTGCTCCTTCTGTATCTTCTGCATTGACTTTTTAATGCTCCCTTCAAAAAACAAACCATTTTTAAAAATTACAAAAGTGGCACTTAGTTTTGTAAAAAATTCTTACCATATAAAAGTTTATAAAATAGAAAAAGGAGGCTCACCCCTTCACATTAATATCTTCCCTTGTCCCACTCCTCAGAGTCAACTACTGTTAATAATTTGGTTATAATCTTTCCAGACCTTTGTACTACATACATAAACACATGTCAGTGCAAACATATATGTAAATATATACATGTGTGTACAGATTGTTCCCTTTCCAAATCTTGGTTTGTAACATACATACTTTTCTGAAGCTGCCTTTTTTACTCTGCCTCCTCTCCTAGGCTTCCCTCTATCTCATTATTCAGATATCCTGTATTATTTTAATAGCTCCTTTCCATTGTATTGCCACTTGTTAAATGTGGAAGTTGTCATATTTTTTATTGCTATTATATATTTATATTTATGTATTTAGATGATAAATACATTATTATTCTTTTTTTTAATTATACTTTAAGTTCTAGGGCACATGTGCACAACGTGCAGGTTTGTTACATATGTATACTTGTGCCATGTTGGTGTGCTGCACCCATCAACTCGTCAGCGCCCATCAACTCGTCATTTACATCAGGTATAACTCCTAGTGCTATCCCTTCCTCCTCCCCCGTCCCCATAATAGGCCCTGGTGCGTGATGTTCCCCTTCCAGAGTCCAAGTGATCTCATTGTTCAATTCCCACCTATGAGTGAGAACATGCGGTGTTTGATTTTCTGTTCTTGCGATAGTTTGCTGAGAATGATGGTTTCCAGCTGCATCCATGTCTCTACAAGGACATGAACTCATCCGTTTTTTAATGGCTGCATTAGGATTCCATGGTAGTAATGTCGCCACATTAGTCTTAATCCAGGTGCTTAGTCCACTGATGGACATTTGGGGTTGATTCCAAGTCGTTTTGTATTGTGACATAGGCTGCAATAAAACATACGTGTGCATGTGTCTTTATAGCAGCATGATTTATAATCACTTCGGGCTATACCATAATGGGATGGCTGTGGTCATATGCGTACTTCTAGTTCTAGATCCTTGAGGAAGTCGCCCATACTGTGCTTCCACAATGGTTGAACCAGTTTACAATCCCACGAAACAGTGTAGAAGCTGTTTCCTATTTCTCCACATCCTCTCCACGCACCTGTTGTTTCCTGAACTTTTTTAAATGATTGCCATTCTAACTGGTGTGAGATGGTATTCTCATTGTGCTTTTGTTTGCATTTCTCTGATGGCCAGCTGATGATGAGCATTTTTTCATGTGTCTGTTGGCTGTAATGAATGTCTTGCTTTGATGATACCTAGTTGTTTCACCTATCCTTTGCCACTTTTTGGTGGGTTGTTTGTTTCTTTCTTGTAAATTGTTTTGAGTTCTTTGTAGGTTCTGGATATTACCCCTTGTCAGACAGAGTAGATTGCAAAATTTTTTCCCCATTTCTGTAGGTGCCTGTTTCACATCTGACTGGTTTTTTCTTTTGCTGTGCAAGAAGCCCTTTAGTTTAATTAGATCCCATTTGTCAATTTGACTTTTGTGACGTTGCTTTTGGATGTTTTAGACCATGAAGTCCCTTGCCAGTGCCTATGGTCCTGAATGGATTCACCTTGGTTTTCCCTCTAGGGTTTTTAGTGTTATTAGTCTAACATTAATTCTAACCATCTTATTGATTTTCGTATAAGGAGGAATAGATCCAGTTTCAGCTTCTCTAAACTTATGACGTAGCCAATTTTCCGCGCACCATTTAATTAACATAGGGAATCCTTTCCCCAATTTTTGTTTTTCTGAGGTATTATCAAAGATCAATGGCGTAATGTGTGGCATTACTTCTGGACTCTGTGTCTGTTCCATTGGTCCTATATCTCTGTTTTGTACCAGACCATAGCTGTTTTGGTTACT